AACCCTGACACAAAAATCTAATTTTGATTCTCAAAATAATCCTTCAAACTCATGTGGACGGTTGGTCCGCACAAGGATAGTAGAATTCCAATTTTTGGTCCTCACAAAGATATCTAAACATGTTACACACACAGACGTGCGCTCTTAACTTTTCTAATTTCTTATCTTTCCTCTGCTCTTTGGTTTGAACTCTCTGCCTCTCTTCCATGTACACAGTTAAATACTGCCATCTCTAATCAGCCCCATATGGTTTGCTGGGTCAGCATGCCAGCAGCCAACAGTGCTGCACACACTTTTGGCTGTGAACATGTGTGTCTGCAACTGTTGTGAAAGTCACACAGAGCAGGGTTTCGCCAATGTTTTAATGCGGTGACCCCCTTTAAACGTATTTATGTCTCGGCATGTAATTTTTAGAGGCTGGAAGAGGTTCAGCTGTCATGCATTTTGTGCTAAAAGTGAAAAGATTACAGAAAAAGACAAAGTCTTGTGTCATGTAAATGTTTTGTGTTCTTTCCTGTTCTATTAGTCATCTAAAAGGCGCCCGATTCATCTCATGACTCTTTGGGGAGGTCTCAAGCCCACACGGACCCAGGGTTAAATCATAAAAGAAAGATACGGTAATTTGGGGAATGTTAGTCTGCATGCATGTGCACTTCTTGCCCAGTGGTTTCCTGTGAGGGTAAAGGCCAGTAATAATGACTTCCAGGAGCTGGCAGTTTGGAAGGCCTGGGTCAAGTTCACATCTGGGATTACTAAGGTTAGTGGGTGAGAATTTTTACTGGAGGTCATCGGCATGATAAAGTGGAGAATGCCGCTGAAGTGTGGCTTTAACCCGACTGATCGCATTCACACGCACAGGCTCCAACTTCTGCATACATGTCGCTATATTTTTTTATTCTTATTGCAACACAGATACGATAAGACATCTGAAATAGGACACCCACATTTTAGACATACTTTAGATACAATTTGCATTAAATCTAATATGGTGTGAGCTTTTTTCCTGTTTTCTTTCATGACCACA